TTTCATCATATTCAAACTATTGTCAGTAACAATCATACAACTTTATTATTTAAATTCTATTTATCAATACTATTAAAAGTTCTTCACTAACGTTTATGCTAGTATGTGAGTAGGGCATGTGATGATATGATAATAATGCTTCTCTAAACTCAAAGTCAGGAGTAAGCCATGTTGTAGTAATCCCAATGTAACTGTGATTATCTTTTGAGGTCTACAAATCTGTTGTTAAGTGAACAACAATAGCAGTATTAGTTAAGATTTCTTGAAGCTGATTTATCCCTTTAGAATATGCTCCTGAAATATATTTCTTAACGGTATTTGCGCATAGTATTCTATATTGTAATTGAAATTCTAAAAGCAACTGTCAGAAAGATAAATCTTGCAATATATACAAAGGTTGTATATCACATATAATAAATTCTACCAGAACTTTAGTAAGTTGATCTTGTCATTTATTTGAAAGTAGAGGTAAATAGGTAATATAATTTGTGATCTGATTCACTTTTACTATTAGCTATAAATAAAATTTATAGATTGATTGATTAGAATTATTTTAGTTAATGCTTAAAATCCCTCTATATATTTGATTTTATTCTGGTCACTATATCAAGATTGCAGAGTATAAACTAGTGATAGACATCACGTGGGATCCTACGCGTGATCTATCATATAATACATGAGATAATTTAGGCTAATTCTATAATTCTAGATAAAATTTACATAATTCTAGTAAACAATCCTGCGAATCACATGCGGATCACGTGTGGGATCCTGCATCTCATACAAGATTTTTGGAAAAATTACAAATTGCCCATCACTAGTATAAACCGTGTTTTATGTATATAAGCGAAAATTTTATTTCTGCTTATACCAATAACACTCAATGTTTAATCATTACAAATTACTTACTTCTTGGAATGAATCAAGATGCTCTTTATAGTTATCTGTAGTAATGCCATACTTATTATGAAGATGAGCCGTTAAATATCCTGTACTTCTACCTAATTTAGTATATAGATATGGTTGTGTGCAGTTCTTTCATATTCTCTAACACAAATTTTATAGTATCTAATTTGATCATTTTTCTTATCATCTTCAAAAAAAAAGTATGTATAAGTAGCGTTGGCTCTTTGACTTTTTATTAGAGTAGGTATAGAGGTTAATAGTTTTACTTAGTTTGTTGTTTGCTTTTTTTTCAATTATGTTTTAAAAAGCCTGTAGTCTAATTATCAGTAGCTCCATTATTAGTTTCATCATTTCTTATTTTATCATTTAGTTCATTACTTATTTCATTATTTGGTTCATTACTTATTTTATCATTTGGTTCATTACTTATTTCATTAGTTGAAGAACTAAAAACAGAGCTTTCTTGTGGTATCCAAAGGACTTCTTCTACTAAAGGTATTAGTGATATTGACCGTTCATAGGAAGTCATTTTTTTTTTTTTTTTTTTTTTTTTTTTTTTTTT